ATTCGGATGGTTTTGGAGTCGGTGTAACCGGGGAGGGAATGGGGGATGAGGTGAAACTCCATCTTCCCAGGGGGCTGCGTGCCCGTCTTCTCCCCATAGATGGCCTTACAGGTGGGGCACTGCAGGCTGCCGTCCTGTGCAGGCACCCATCAGGGACAGCACCCCCCACAACACCCACCCATGGGGACAGGTGACCACGAGGGGAGGGTTTCACCCCAGGGGGGTCCCGGCTGACCTTGTTGCCGTTGTTGTACATGGCCAGCAGGCAGAGGAGGTGGTACATGTGCCCGCACTTGCCCAGCTTGCCCACCAGCTCTGGCTTGATGCCCCTGTGGCTCAGGACCCCTTCATAGCCAGAGGAGGTGGCCAACCGCTCCATGCAGATGGTGCAATCCTGCCAGGATCGGGGTGACGGGCATCAGCGCCCGGGTGGGATGGGGACATCACCCTTGGTTCCCTGCCCACCACAGGGCTGCCTGAGGCCTGTGAACCCCCAGCAGCGCTCGGGTGCGCCCACGGGCCAAGCCGCACTGCCTGGAGACCCCACTCACCTCATCTGGGGGGTTCTTCACTTTCTGGATGTAGCGGCGCACCACATCCTCGGGAGTCTTGCCTGCCGTGGGGGTAGGGGACACACTGTCAGAGCCTGCCCCCATGCCCCCAGTGCCCTGCCACCAGAATGGGGACAGCACGAGGAGGAGGGGGTGCCAGTGCGTGGCACGGAAGAGCTGTGAGCATCACCCCAAAACCCTTGGGAAAACCCCACCCCTGCAGGCAGCAGCAGCGCCTCTGCCTCAGTTTCCCCTCCGGCAGGGGCTGGCGTAGCTGGGGACGCATGGGGATGTGGGCAGCTCCTTACTCTTTTTGAGGTGCTTCTTTTTGGTTTTCCTGCAGAGGCCGTTGACGCCAGGCACAGGTTTGATGTCGCTCTTGCTGACGGGCGGCGGGTGCAGGATGGGTTTGGGGGCGCGGGTCAGGCAGACAGGCAGCCCCGCTGCGCACATCAGGATGCCCGTCATCCC